TTAAAATAAAAAGGTTGGAGATAAAGTTGCAATAACAATTGGCAATAATTCCTCAAATCTCATTCCAAACGAACCATTTTTCAAACATCAACTTTTCGACTCTGTTTGGTTCTAGAGTTATTCAGGGAAAAGAAAAGAAAAAAAAGGAAATGAAAGTAAAAGCGAGTTTTCACTGTACTTTCTCACACTTGGATAAAATTAGCAAATTGAAAATTTCTCAAAAAATGGTTGCAAAAAGAAAAAATGACAGTATACTTCTTTCAATTTTCTCTCTATTTCAATAATAATAACTTAAAGGGTTAAGTGCAAAAAAAACCTCTCTACTATCGATATAGTGCAAAACGGTCCCTATGTAGTAAAAAATCCTCCTATACTATCAATTTGGTGCAAATAGGTTATGTGTAGTATAAATTTACAATAATACACTCACTTTAGTTGAATAAATAAATAAATATAAATATAGGCCATGTAAAATGACCCTTTTAACCACTTATCAAAAAAAGAAAAAATAATTTTTTTTGAGCGCCGCTAACCCCAATTGCAAAAACTAGTAGGACCCACAAAACCTATAATTAAAGACCACGATTACTCCACCCGAATTCTTCCTAATGTAAATATCCTATTACTATATATCTCTATATATTAGTATATATATCATATAAGGAAAATATATATATCATATACAGTGTATCTGATTTTCTCTCTTTACAGAGTCGAAAATTACCCTAAATCTTGTTCTCTCTCATCTGATCGGCGTCATCTCTCTCAGTAAACTTTAGTTCATGTCCAGAAAGAGTATCCCATCAACATCGGCAGGAACGCGAGGCTCATGCCGGAGATAGAGGCCGGACTCCAATAATTACAGAGATGACAGAGATAAAGCCAACAACCCAAAAATTAAAGTGATCAAAACCACATTTTGATCGCAGAATGAGGTCCACAAGACCAAGACGAACACAACACTGCAAATAAAAGTCATAAACGGTGTTACACGCGCCACCTGAAGTTCTGCGCGTAGATCTCACATGCTGTCATGCACCCCACGCGTCTTCTCCAGCGAAAATCCAATTTTGGTGAATTTTCTGGCAAGAATCCGATGACATCTCCAGCAAGGCGAGCCGTTCAGCCAGTACCAACCGCGCCGAGCTATATAAGGGGTTATATGCACAAGGGCAAAATGGGAATCAAAAGAGTAAAATAGGGTTTTCATATTTAGTTTTTGTCAAAAAGTGGTCAGATATGCTTATTTGTACATTTTTTGAATTTTATGGACTAACATGTACATTTTTAAAAAGTAGGGACTAGTTATTCATAAACCCTATATATCAGGGGGGGTTTTTTGCATGTAACCCTAACTTAAAATGTATGGACACTTCACCCGGTGGCCTTATGACGGTATGATACTCGACAACGGCCAAAAATGTCCTAAAATTAAAAAATAAATTATCCTAAAGATTTTATTTCAATTGGAATTTAGTTATTCACCATGAACGAGGATCCCGCTCAACATTCATGGTTGAATGGTTAAAGCGTCCAACTCATAATTGGCAAATTCGTAGGTTCAATTCCTACTGGATGCACGCCAATGGGATCCTCTATTGAAATTGACTCTCTACCAATGGGACCATCCAATAAGTATGTTTGAATTGACTCTCTATCAATGCGAGATATTGCAGTGACACACACTTTAGGCACTTTTAGAACCTTACTTTATGTATATATATATATATATATATATATATATACACACAAAAAAGTGGAATTCAATGCAATTTAAAATATATTATGTGTTAAGTAGACAAAAAATATAAAATTTTAAAAACAAAAATAACAAATTTTAATCTCCAAATTAGAGATTTTTAAGATAAAATTAGTAAAAACAATCATTATTTATACATATATATATATATATTAATTTCAAACACATCCATCATCCATTCCTTCTTATTTTAAAAAAATTTATGGTATCACCATATCATACTCGTGTCCCCATGTCATACTCCAGTATACTTGTTTCCTAGATAATATCTAATAAGGAAGATTTTTCTTTTTCTTTTTGGTGTTTATCACGTGTCCTTTTCCTCCCATCACTAAATTCACAAGGTGATGTAGCACTCCAAAATAAGTTTTTTTTTTTTTTTTATAAAAAAAATCTCTAACTATTTAATTAATATCATAAGAATAGAGTGTCTCAAGTTTTTTTTAGAAAAAATAAAATCACTTACCAGTTGGCAAATGAGAGAAACTCAAAAATCATCCCTTCACTGCCATTTGATGAACTTCAAGACTGTCTACATAAAAAGGAGCACTACGTTTCTCATGTTCGTTTTACAATAGCAGCAACTCATTGTGGACTAAACAACATTATTTTCTCTATCTTATCTCGAATTAATCCTGTCTTTTTAAACTGTGATGAAACCTAAAAAGACCAAGGAAAAAAGAAAGCAATCATTTAAGAATAACTATGGACTTTTCCCAGGATGCAAATAACTAACGACAAGCACCTTTTGTTAAAGTTCAAAATGCATTTTGTGACAATCACAATGATCATAATGCCCAGAAAAATATCGACAGTCACAGAGTATATATTCGAGAAGGTCCCGTCCAACTTACGGTGCAACTAATATACAAATAACTACAAGAAAAGAATTTTCCAACGACTCCATGCTGGTCTTCGAGAACAAGAAAAAAGGACATACTTTTGAACACTCACAAATGTCTTCACAACCCTTTAATGCTTTCAAAGAGTGAGATCAAACAGAGCAGAAAAACACACGTCTTTTGAGTTTGATGTGGATAATTAGACATGACCATGGACTACAAATAAACCAATATCTGGGTTTAGTGTCAGCAACAATCTCCTGCATATCAAAAATATGTTTTACTTCATGTTGCTTTGAGGGAGTGAATCATCGAAGGTCACCATAATTAGATGGAAATTTGTTTATGAAAATTTCAAATAAATTAAGCTTTATGGCCTCTTAACTTTAGTGCCTCCTTTGCTTAGCATCATTGATGTGGAACATAAGCTACAAAATGGTTAGCGTCTCAAGTTAGTGAAAACTTTTACAAGGAGACTTCAAATCCAACCGAGTGACAAAATATTAGTCATTCACCTTTGTTCCAACATAAAAGGACAAGAACATACCACCAAGAGTAGGCAGTCCTGCAAAAGTAAAAAAAATTGCATTAACCTGATGAAAAGATATCAAATTCTATTCAAATTCATAATTTCCAGAATACAAGAGTATGCTTATAAAGTATGTAAAGAAGAATCTATTCTTAGAAGGTACACAAATGTAGGCTAGAATTATTGGAAATACATAATCAGTGGAAACCAAATAAATACATAAAATCCCTATAATCTCTCCACAAGATCCTCTGTTAACAACTCACGCCAACAGCCCTCCTCAAGTTGGTGCATGGATGTCTCCAATGCCCAACTTGTCCAGTGAGTTATAAAACACCTTGCTTGAGACGGCCTTTGTAAGGATATCTGCCAACTGATCTTCTGATTTTACAAAAGGAAATTGAACTATCTTAGCTTCAAGCTTTTCCTTGATAAAATGTCGGTCCACTTCAACATGTTTTGTTCGGTCATGTTGAACTGGGTTTTGTGCAATTTCTATAGCCGCTTTATTATCACAAAATAGATTCATTGCAGAGCTGGATGAATAGCCAATTTCTTCCAGTAGTCTCTTTAACCAAAGAAGCTCGCACAGTCCTTTAGCCATGCCTCTAAACTCAGCTTCTGCACTAGATAATGCAACCACCTTCTGTTTCTTGCTTCTCCAAGTAACTAGATTGCCACCCACGAAAGTGAAATATCCTAATGTAGACTTTCTGTCAGTAATACTCCCAGCCCAGTCAGCATCCATATAACCATCAATGTTTAAATGATTATATTTCCTGAACATGAGTCCTTTTCCTGGGGAAGACTTTAAGTACCGTAAAATCCGAAGCACGGCATTCATGTGATCGTTATTAGGATTATGTATGAATTGACTCATTAAACTCACAGCATAGGCAATATCCGGTAGTGTATGAGACAAGTAGATTAGCTTTCCCACAAGCCGTTGGTACCTTTCTCTATTCGTGGGTGTTTGGTTCGAGTGTTCTCCCAATCCATGATTTTGAACCATTGGCGTTTCTGCAAGCTTACAATCAAGCATTCCTGTTTCAGCTAGCAAATCAAGTACGTATTTCCTTTGTGATAGAAATATGCCTTGATTTGACCGAGCTACTTCAATACCCAGAAAGTATTTTAATCCCCCAAGGTTCTTCATTTCAAACTCAGTTGCCAGATGCTTCTGCAAACTAGAGATTTCCTTCTCATAATTTCCTGTAATTATCATATCGTCAATGTAAATTATTAGAGCCGTTACCATTCCTTGTCGATGTTTCAAGAACAGAGTATGATCTGAATTGCTCTGTTTGAAACCATGCTTCCTTACGGCCAAGCCAAATCGTCCAAACCACGCTCTAGGTGATTGCTTTAGTCCATAAAGTGCCTTCTGTAGTTTGCATACCATTCCAGTTTGTGATGAGGTTGTAAAGCCTGGTGGAATGTCCATGTACACTTCTTCTGCTAGATTCCCATGAAGAAACGCATTTTTTACATCAAATTGATGTAGTGGCCAATCTAAGTTTGCAGCAAGAGACAGCAATACTCTGACCGTATTCAACTTTGCTACTGGTGAAAACGTCTCTTGATAGTCTATACCATATGTCTGAGTATATCCTTTCGCAACAAGTCTCGCCTTGTATCTCTCTACTAACCCATCTGCCTTGTGTTTAATGGAGAACACCCATCTACATCCCACCGTTTTCTTTTCTTTGGGTAACGGCATAAGCTTCCACGTATCATTTTTCTGCAAAGCTATCATCTCTTCAGTTATTGCTTGGATCCATTTGGGGTTGTTTAAGGCCTCTTGTACTGTACTTGGAACATGCTCAGAAGATAGCTTGTGCACAAAAGCTTTGAGGGATTGTGATAATCTCTAGGTGCAAATATGGTTGGCAATTGGATACTTCTTCTTCTTTTCTCCATGGTCTGGTGAGTATCTATTTGGTGGCTTACCACGGTTGTATCTGAAAGGTAATTTGTAGCCAACAAAATCATCTATAGTATTACTAGGAGAAGAGTTTAGAGATTGTACCTCAGGAGTATTCTCAGGAGAGTGATCGTTTGGTACTAAAGAATGAGGAGTGGGTTGCTCTTGCTCAGTGGTTTGCTTTTGTTCACTCCTAGCCTTGGCATCATCATTTTCTTCTCCTTGTTCTATAGAAGCCTCTGGGAATGAGAGAGTTCCAACCAGATCAGTGTCATCATACCTTAATTGAATTTCATCAATTTGATTTACCTCCAAGTTTGTATCTTCAAAGCCTGGCCAGTTCTCCCAATTGTCCACATTCTGTTCTTCACATAATAGTTCCCCCTGAAGAGAAGAATGGGAACCTTGTTTTGAAAAGAAAGTTTCAGATTCGAGAAAAGTGACATCCATCATGGTATAAAGACATTTGGTAGTGGGATCATAGCACCTATAGCCTTTCTTATGTGTTGCGTACCCCAGAAAAACACAATGAACAGCACATACATCAAGCTTTGTTCGCTGGTTTTTATGAAGATGAACATAAGCAAGACAACCAAATATTCGTGGCGGAAGCATCAAGACAGAAGGCAATGACACATGATGAGCAAGAGCTTGTAGAGGAGTTTCAAAGTCTAAGACTCGAGATGGCATTTGATTCAGCAAGTAAACAGCAGTACCAACTACATCTGCCCAATACCGTCGGGGTGCATGTGCTGCTGTTAAAAAGGCTCGGGCTGTTTCGAGGATATGTCTACTTTTTCGCTCCGCAACACCATTTTGTTGTGGTGTTTGAGAACAAGTGGTTTCATGACAAAGACCATGTGCTTGGAAATATTCTCGTAACTCATTATTGTCATACTCTCCGCCATTATCAGATCGAAGAATTTGGAGTTTAGCAGAAAATTGTGTCTTGATCATATTATGGAAAGAACGAAAAATTCCAAACACCTCATTCTTATTTTTCATCACATAAAGCCAAGTCATACGTGTGCAATCATCTACAAAGATCACAAACCATCTAACTCCTGAAGAAATTAAGATAGGAGCCGGGCCCCAAACATCCGAGTGAATTAACATAAATGGGGTCTCACATTTTTTAAAAACTTATTGGATAAGATACACGATGACTCTTGGCTAGAATGCAAGTTTCACACCTAAAATCAGACTCATGTAAATTGAAAAACAAACTTGGACACAAACGCTTTAAGTAAGAAAACGATGGATGCCCTAGTCGACGATGCCACAACCAAATCTGTCGTTCTTTGTCACCAGTTCGATGCACATTATTTGCCCGGCCGAAGCTTAAATCATTCATGTAGTACAACCCTCCTCTTTTAGTACCACGACCAATAATCTCCTTGGTGAGAATATCCTGGAACAAACAGAAACTCGGATACATTAGTGCACAACAATTCAGTTCCTTAGTAGCTTGGCCTATAGATAATAATTTATTCGAAAGAGATGGAACTAATAAAGTATTTGATAGAGAAAAAGAGGGTGAAAGTGCCACTCTTCCAGCCCCTGTAACTGGGAATGTCACTCCATTAGCATTAGCAACACATGTCCGTTTTTGTTGAGTGGTTTCGACAAAATCTTATGGATCAAATGTCATATGATCGGTTGCCCCTGAATCTACAATCCAACCATGATTACCTGGATCATTAAGAGCCACGGATTTGTTTGCAACAGCAGGAAAGGAGTCCTCTTGTGGTATAAGGGATAGTTGAGATTTAGTGTTCACGAGTGCGACTCGACCATGAGTCTCGCCTGCACCAATTTCACGCTTCTTTTTTTTCTTAAGTTCGTGCCACCACTATGGATATCCATGTAGTTTAAAACAGGTGTCTCTGGTATGTTTCATATGCCCACAGTGTGTGCAACCCCCTCCCTCTGCTTGTGACTTTGACTTTGTCCATGTGTTAAGCTTTCCATTGGACAAAATCTGAAGTGAAGGTTGCTGCTGTGATTTCTGTCCACCTTTTGAGAGCATAACAGCACTGGGTGTGGTATCTCCTTTTGTCAACATCACTGCTTGCCTTAGATCTTCCCGGCGAACATGTGCATAAGCCTGCTCTACTGTAGGAAATGGCTGAATTTGGAGCACATCTCCTCTAATCTTGTCAAGATGATCATCTAGTCCATCCAAGAATGTATAAACTCTATCCTCCTGTAAAATAGAATTATACCTCTGTATATCAATTTCACATTGCATCGGATTCGGGCAGCGAAAATCGATTTCTCTCCATAGGCCTTGAAGATTGTTATAGTATGTCTCGATAGATCCTCCACCTTGTTTGAGCCTAGTCACCTTCCTCTTGAGATCATAAACTTGCGAGGTGTCGGCGCCATCAAAATATGTTGTAGCAATTGCATCCCATACTGCTTTCGCCGTTGGGAATCTAATGTAGTTGCCGATCAGTTTTGGATCCATTGAATTAATCAACCATCCCTTCACCACTGCATTTTCAGTTCTCCATTTTCTAAAAAATAGGATCATTCTCTCTGGGTTGTAGAAGATTCCCATTTATATGTCCCAACTTGTCTTTGCCTGAGATGCACATCTCAACAACCTGGGACCAAAGTCCATAATTGGTGTCGTCCAACTTGATGCCAATTGGTGCAGCAACAGATTCGTGACTCAGTGAGGTTGGTGTCTGGTTCAACATTTGTGATATTCTGGAGGTCAAGTCCGCAAGAATTGGATTCTCGCCTTGGGAACTCTCTATTAAGGGAGTACGTTCTGTCATTGATCTCAATTTTTTTTTTTTTTTTTTTTTTCTTAATCCACAGTCCTAGAATCTACCGTGGATAGCAGGACTCGGCAAAAAGAAGACGAACCGGCTGTAGAGCTCGGCCATGAGCTCCGGTCGTGGAAGGCGACCGGTGATGGTGCAGCGGTGGCGGGTCGTCCTCAGATCGGCGACTGGTTTGGGTTTTTGGTTGCTGTTCGGCACGGCGAGGAAGGGCGACGGCGTGACAGATCCGGGGATGGTTCACGTAGTGGGCGTCGATGACTACAGCGACATCGACTCGGTCTCGTCGGTGACGAGTGATGACGACGACGAGTCCTGGGGCATCGTTTGTTTCACTCGTCGTTGGCGAATCTGGATTTCGCGGCGGCGGATCTGGGTATTCAAATATTTCACGAGGACAGCGGGCTTGGTGGCTCCTTTTCTGGCGGTGGATCCTCGGTGTATGGCAGCGGTAGAATGGAATCTTGTGGGCTGGTAACTGGAAATCCGGTTTCTAAATTTTGTGATTTGCAAAGAGATGGCAAGTTCTGTTGATTACAGAGAGGTGATAGATATATGGGTTTTGATTTTTGAGAAAAACAATGAATCAAATGGTTTTTTTTTTTTTTTTGTTTTTTTTTTTAAACCACGCTCTGATACCATGATGAAAAGATATCAAATTCTATTCAAATTCATAATTTCCATAATACAAGAGTATGCTTATAAAGTATGTACAGAAGAATCTATTCTTAGAAGGTACACAAATGTAGGCTAGAATTATTGGAAATACATAATCAGTGGAAACCAAATAAATACATAAAATCCCTATAATCTCTCCACAAGATCCTCTGTTAACAACTCACGCCAACATAACCAACAGTGGCATGTGGCTAAGAGAATAAAAGTGGTATATAAGAGCTGTAAACCTTCTTCCCGGTGAAATCGAGAAATCAACCAATTAAGGCCTGATGGTCCAATAACATAGCCAACAAGGTTAGCCACCTGTAGAAATAAAAACTGGGAGATTACTGTATGCAAATTCATGTGAAAACTCTCTTGGATACCCAGATAACCATTTAAAAGCAAATTATGGGGAAAAGGGATAGTATAAAATGACGATGGAGGCAATCATTCTAATTTATTTCGACGTGGAATTTAAATGATTCAATTTTGTTTATCACAGCATTCAGATGATTTTAGAACTATTTCCTGACATCTGTTTACAATCATCATTTAAGGATTCCACTTGATGGCCACTACAAGAAGGATTCATGTTCATGGCAAAAGTTTTACGCCGGATGTCAAGCTACGTAATGCGCACAACCCTCCTTTTTCCAGGCTTGGAACTAACTGTGTAAACACAAGGCACTAAACATGATGTACGTAATGGCCACTACGTCATTATTATTATTATTAGTATTATTTCAGTATTTAAGGGTGAGGATTTCGTCTTGGACAACAACGCCATATTCAAATGACATGCAAAACACAGTGAGGATAATTGATTACTAAGAAATGTTATATTCCAGGATAAAGTTTTTGATACAATTTGCTGGATAAAACTAAATGCTACACTTGAGAAGTAGAAAGAACTATCAGAATATCTGGCTTACTTGCAAATTTTATCAAATTAGTTTATACAAAACAAAGACAAAAGCTCCCCAACATTTTCCCAAACGCTTCCCTGAGTAATTTACCATTTCCAAGTCTGATGCTACTACGAAGGACATGCCACTAAAATGTTCAGTAACACAAATTTCAGACATTAGTTGCAGAAATATAAGACAAAGACATAACATGTCAACTTAATTTCAGACATTAGTTGCAGAAATCTAAGAGATCAAACATCAAACTAGAAGACATAAAGGTGCATAAGCAAAACACAAACCATGAGACAAGTGATTGTGACAGCACCAGCAGCCGCACTAAGCTCACGGAAAATAAACTCCCCAAAAACATTCTCCGCCTGACAAAAAAAAAAAAAAAAGAAAATAATTTGATAATATAGAAATTAAACCGTGATAGCATTTAAAAAAAAAAAAATGGAGGACAAAAATATAAAATATGCTGTCGCTAGTTTGCTACATATAGGTAAACAATGATTCATATAGAAATCTTCAATTAAGGCACAAATACTTTTTACAAAAACATAAGCTTGGGGAACATTCAAAATAGCACATAAACCTAATAATCTATGCAAATTTTATATTAAGAATTCAAGATAAAAATAATGTTCATTAATTATAATTAACGTTAGGCCTAGAACACATGATTATTTCCACCTTCCACGTCTAACAACAGCCATATCTCATATTTTATATTATATCTTCAACAACAATGAAGACAGTATCATTGTGCATTATCTCAAATTTTTGGTTCAGCATCACAGATCTTATTCAACCATGGTACTTAGAGTTTTCTTTTGAAGCGTATTAAGATCTTGCTTTTTAAATACTTAAAAAGTTATCTCTCAGAAAGGCATTATTCAGATCATCATTGTTTCGCTTTGCAACACAAATTATTGTATAGCACGTGTTCACTGCAAGATCTATTCAAGAAGACTCCAATTGTTCACTTTCAGAGGTCTACTCCACCGGTAGAAATTCAAATTAGGAAGCTCATGGAGATAGTTTTACTTGCTCAACCTTTATTATTATTATTATTATTATTATTATTATTATTATTATTATTATTATTATTATTTTTATTCTTTAAGTTGAGAAATTGTTATTGCAAATGGTAAGTGAAGCGTGAGGCAAAGGTAAAAATTTAAGCCCTTTATTAGGGTTTAAAGGATAGCTGAAGAGGCAATTATAAATCAAGAATGTTAGTATAAAAAGTGACTTCAAAAGACACTGTGAATGGCAAGGCTCTCACCTCACATCTTGGAGGTTGAGAATTCGAATCCCCTTACTAAGGATTTTTCGGGATAATTGTCTAGGGCATGTGGAATGAGGAGGACTGCATGTGTCAATGGTGGATTATGGGGTGCACCAAGAGGTCCGGCACCATCATCGACAAAAAAATAAAAATAAAAATAAAGAGGTACATCATGAATCAAAGATTTAAATAGAAGAACTCGAATGAAAACTAAATATTATCAAGGAGATCTGCACCTAATACTGTCAAAAATTGCTCCAACTCATGAGTCAGCCTATGGCCCTATGGTAAATCAAACTCAATTAGTGAAAGAAGAAAGCCTCTTTAGATAACTACAGTATGCCCTACCATAACCTGTAAAACAGTGATTTGGACTTCAAAAAAATTCTTTGTTCTATGTCTTTCCAGACAAGTCACAACCTCTTGGACATCTCTACATAATGTCACATTCTAGTGCGAAGGGCTCAGGGCTACGAAGTTGCTATAAAAGGCATAGTTCTATCAAAATGATGCAAGCATGATGGTGACCATGAGTGCAATGGTGTGTCATTGACAGTTGGCAACTACAGGGATGCAAGAGTGGTAGGGAAGATGCAGAAATAGGATTAGGAATCGATAAATGTGAAAATGTATTGTGAATGAGTAAAACCATAAAAGTAAGTATAAATGAGAGGGCAAGAAACATAACTTAGTCCTTACCAGAAATATATATATATATATATATATATATATATATATATATATATATATATATTCCTAGATGAAACTTGCACCTCACGTTGCTCCCATAGGGACTTGAACCCTCGATTTTTATTTTGGAAGGTGAGAAAGTGCCGGAAGCTACAGCCCTGGGTAGTAAAGCTAATTTTAAAATTTATTAAGGGTGTTTTAATAAAACAAATTTTAAACCAAAAAACTCATGTGGATATTCATTAATTCACACCCTGCCCGGAACCCAATTAATTTGGGTATTCAATTCTCTTTCGAAACCTGCTCTTAAACTGATTAATTCCATCCCATACCCATCTATTAGGGGCAGGGTAAGGTTGGTTACTCAAGTATCAGGCTAAATTAAGTTCATAACTATAGGGGCATATCGAGGAAGATATGGTTTTAATTTGCCTGAATAGCTGGAATTGTTAAGATTTTATTTTTTATAATCCGAAATTATACAGATTGTACAGCTGTAGGATTGCATTATTTTCTCCTTGATTTATGGCTATTGGTAGGTAATTAGTTTCCCGATTATTGTATATTTAGTTACTTATTTTAGCTAGATATTATTCTATAAATTGAATGTAACACCATCATGAATATTATTGAATTGAGTTTTGATTCTCATATTATTTCCTTGAATTTCAAGATGGTATCAGAGCCATCCTTGAACCGTATTGTTTGAATCCCTTTTGAATTTATCTTTTAAATTCATTGAATCATACAACATAACCATACCTATACAACATAACCATACACATACACATACACATACACATCAAGTCACAAACCCATATAGATACACATACAGTCACCATTGATGCACCCATCACAAGCCGCTGCCAAACCACTATAGATCTCACCGAATCTGGATCTGAAACGACGACGACGAAGCCGCAGCCACTGCCATCACAAGTCTCAGTCGTCGCCGAACCAATCTCCATCACAAGCCGCAGCCACTACCAGCACAAGTCGCTGCCATCACAAGCCACAGCCGTAACCAAACCGCTGCACCTCGACGGATCTGTATCGCCGTCGCCGGATCTGCTTCGCTGCCTGCAGGCAACGAACAGCTGCACCTCGCCGTCGCATCGCCGGATCTTCGCATCGCATCATCGGCTCACATCAAACCGCTACCTCGCCGGATCTCGTCAAACCGCTGCCTCGCCGGATCTCGTCATGGCGTTGGATCTCCATCATCGCCGTCGCGTCGCTGGATCAAGCCGCTCTCTACCGTTGCCTCACCGGATCGCGTCGTGGTGATACTCATTCTCTGCCACTGCCCATCTCATCCAGTTTTTCTTATTGGTTTTGTTTTTGTAGTGGATACTTCTCTGTTGCTTAACACTTAACAGAGAAGTTAATATTTTGTTTTTTTTCCATTTTAGTTTCTTAATATATATATATATTGTTAAAATAAAATATAAAAAAAAATAAGTGAAAAAAATATTGAATCCTCTGGGACGAAATCAGTTCCTATTTTTGTTCAATCTGAAGGTGTTTTTAATGCAGGGATTAGTCTTACTGGATCTAATTATGATGTTTGGTCCTAACTGATGGAGATGCATATTGCTGAAAAGGAGAAACTCTCCTATATTCGTGGCAAGACTAAGCCACCTACTGAATCAGAAGATGGTTATGATAAATGGTATGCCGAAAATCAGAAAGTGAAGCGGTGGCTATTAATGTCCATGACTCCGAAATTATGAAGCGTTATTTACGCTTACCCACTGCCCACGAAATTTGGAGTGCTCTATCAAAGGCCTTTTATGATGGGAATGATGAGTTACAAGTTTTCGCCTTGAACCAAAAGGCCTTCACCGCCAAACAAAATGGAAAATCTCTATCTGAATATTATGGAGAACTAATTGAGGTTTTCCGAGAAATGGACCATCGAGATAAAGTGGTCATGAAAGATCCTGATGACATTGAAGCATATCGGAAGTCTATCGAGTGACTAAGGGTTCACATCTTTCTCGCCGGATTGGATGGTGATTTTGAACAGGTTCGTGGAGAAATTCTACACAACGATCCAGTTCCAGACTTGGAAGGCTGCTACTCGTTGGTTCGACGAGAAACGGTACATCGTGCAACTCTGAAAGGGGAATCCGAAAACTTTGAAGCTTCAGTAATGATGGCTTGAAACAGGTCTAAGCAAAACTGGCAGGACCGTCCTAAACCCAATCCATCTAAAGCTACCAATGGTGCAGACAAGTATACCTACAAATGTACCCATTGCAATCAGACTGGTCATACCAAAAGTCGTTGTTTCGAACTTGTGGGATATCCAGAATGGTGGGATCATAGTCGTTGGAAGAAGAATTCGACGAAGACCTCCACTGCAGCAACTATTAAGACAGATGATGATGGTGCTGAAAATGCCTTGGGGTTGGTAGTAATCGGAGATAATAGTGGTATGGTTTTAAATATTTTTACACCTGTTATTAATAGTGCATGGATAATTGATTTCGGTGTTACAGATCATATGACATTTGATTCTAGACAGGTCTCCCCTCTTAATTCCTCCTCTCAAAAATTTGTTTCTACTGCCAATGGTACTTCGACCCTAGTTATTGGGGAAGGCTCTTTGACACTCACTGATAATATGCATTTAGATTCTGTTTTAGTTGTTCCATCTTTAGCTTATAATCTTTTGTCAATTTCCCAAATAACCACAGCTTTATCTTGTGTTGTAATTTTTTGGCCTAATTTTTGTGTGTTTAAGGACATCCAAACAAAGCAGACGATTGATTATGGTATTAGGCGAGGGAATCTGTATTACTTGGACTTAGTGTCAAAAAGTTCCAACAAGCTACGACAAGCGTTGACAGTGGATGGTTTTGAGGGGGAGAAAAAGAAATCTGAAATATGGCTATGGCATCAACGTTTGGGGCATGCTTCCTTTGGTTATCTAAAAAGATTATTTCCTAGTTTATTTTAAAAAATTGATGGTTCTAGTTTCCGCTGTGATATTTGTGAACTCGCAAAGAGCCATCGTGCTTCGCTTCCATTATGTTTAAATAAAAGTCCACTTCCTTTTATGGTTATACATTCTGATGTTTGGGGTCCGTCCAAAGTCACTACTTTAGGTGGATCACATTGTTTTGTTACTTTTATTGATGACTGTACCAGGATAACCTGATTGTGCTTGATGAAATCCAAAAGTGAAGTGAATTTATTGTTTCAAAATTTTCATAAAATGGTTGAAACTCACTACAATGCACATGTTCAGGTTCTCCGTAGTGACAATGGTAGAGAATATCAAAGTTTTGGCCTTCAACAATATTTGGAAGCACATGGAACTATTCATCAAACCACTTATTCCAATACACCCTAGCAGAACGGGGTTACGAGCGAAAAAATCGCCACTTGTTAGAGGTTATTCGTACTTCATTGATAGAAGCTCATATGCCATTATCGTATTGGGGAGAAGCACTTACCTCTACAGCATATCTAATCAATCGAGTACCTTCTAGCTCTATTGAATTCCAGACACCATTGTAGGCTCTCACTGACGCATTTGTTGCCCCAACCGTTCCAAATCTACCTCATCATGTCTTTGGTTGTGTAGCATTTGTACACCTCCATAAACATCAACGCAACAAGCTAACTCCTCGAGCGTTACGCTGTGTTTTTCTCGGATATGCTACTCATCAAAAGGGATATCGTTGTTATCACCCTCCAACT